TAGAGTATTTTAGGTTTCTATAGGATTGGAAACTTTCCTGCATGAAGGCCAAAGAACCCATTTTTACAAAATATCTTCCCTGGCCTTGGAGTTTTTCTACTCAGGGTCTGGGTACTGTCCCTCAGATTTTATAATAAAAGAACAAATGTGATTACAACCTATCAACATGATTCACAGCACTACTTGTGGGAAATTTCATGATAATTGGCAATAACAGTCTCACAGCCTTTACTACCTAGTTGGCCTTTCAATTGTGATTTTAAACCTCATACTCTTGAGCAACTAAGAATTCTGATGTGAAGCACCAGTGCCCCGTTAGATCAGGAGATCTTAACTACTTGATCCAAGCAGGACTCATGGTTTCCACAGAATAGGATATAAAATTCATAACATCATATAGACATATGCAAAGGTCCTTTTGCAATCTCAGTAAAGGACTGTTTACCTATCATTCTGTAAACCACATCCAAATTCTTCCACTAAATATTTGGAAGAATGCATTGTTTTCACAGATCATATTAGTGGTCCTCAGGTTGAATTCAGAGGCAAAAATTTGTGAGGCTTCCTTTACCTTCTATACCAGATGCCCTTTTGTATCACTCATTTTGCACCTTAGGGCCTTGTTTCTTTGTCTGGGCCTTTCAACACACTAATTGTAATAATTACATATCACAAGTAGCAAACAAGATAGGCACATATGACCAGATCCATCCTTTTCTTGGCTAAGATACCATTTTCATGAAGCTTTTGCATGGGATGGCCTACAAATACTACCTTTGTAATTTCAGCTTCCTGAGTAGCTAAGATTCCACACGAGGGACTGTAATTGCTCATTTTTAATTGCTGATTTTAAACTAAAAGAAGGAAAGGGTATTTTACCAATTCAGTGAGCAGCAAGTCCCTTAAATGTTGACCTCAAGCAAAAATATTGGCCAAATAATAATAACAAAAGTGATAAAATCAAAAATAAAATGTTATCATCAGGGCTACTTTGAATGAATGTGGTATGTTGGTTCATGAGTTTTAATTACAGCTATATGACAGGCCTAGGTAGAAGGGACTCCAGTCCATGAACCATCCTTTATCGGAGAGCATCCAGTTTGTAAAAATGGGAGAATGAACTATATCCAAATAGCTGGTGTTTGTGTATGTGTGTGTGTATGGTACAAGTAGAAAGGCCAAGGGCCTCCTAATCCCCCTATTTTTTTCTTCTTTACTAGGCCTCAGTAGATAAGCAGATGGGTGAACAGTGTGAGGGGAGGGGGTAAGCTAGCAACCTAGCTAAATCTGGCAATGTGAAGTCTACTGTCCTTATCTTGTAAATGGAATCCTGCCAGGATTTAAGGATTCTCTTTGAACAATTAAAATTGTTGAAGGCACAGGAAGCCTGAGGTGAAGCACTAAATGAAACCTCTTATTCGCAGAGAGAGATTTCTTCAGAACAGCCCACAGGGCTCATGCTTTGATTCCTAGCTTTTTAGATTCCTAGGAGCTCTCGTTGGCTTCAACTCAGTTCCTGAGTTGAAGACTTCATATTGGCACAAAAACATTTCTTCATGAAAGTGTGAAAATAGAGCCCTTCATGTAACAAATCAGCTGTGGACATATGTAGAATGACTGGATTCTATAGGATCTGGAGTCTTGGTCTTGGTTTACTAATTAAGCACTTTCTGATGTAACAGACATTATTTTTTCTGAATGCCTCCGGGATATCTTTAATTACATAACTATACAGTGGTATCTATCTTGGCTCTAGAAATTCTAAATTTAGGTCAACCTTTGTGTTTCTGTAAAAGAAGACAGTACATTTGTTGGAAGCCACATTATGGAAGATGGAATACTGCAGTGTTTATTACACAGCTAGCAGTCTGCAAGCAGCCTGTTGTAACAATGAATTGCAGTCCACAAATAGACAGCTTGCTAACAGGACAGAAAGGAAAAAAAAAAAGAATTAAAACAACACCAAGAAACCAATCAGCAGGAAAAGAGTGCTGAATTGGCACACTATGATGACCAGAGACAAGCCAGGAGACAGGACACAGGACATGATCACAGAGACATGTACCATAGCATCTAGTGCCACTGCTGGTCCAGCCTAAATAGGGCCTAAGCAGGAGGGAGGTCTACAGGAAATCCCAGTCCCAGTCACTGGACTAAGAGATTGAGTAACATATCAACCAAATTCTCACCCCTGCTTCCAGGGAACCAGCCACACCTATCAGTTGTGTGACAAGTGATGAAGGAGGTAATCCTTGCCCCTGCATGAAGACAAGATGCCAGACCCCACCATCCACCATGTGGCCAATAGGGCACCAGCCACACCTGACCTCCTTACTTAATTTTCTTGAAATATTAAGTCAATTTATAAAATGTTACAGGCTCCTTATAGTTTTGTAAACAGTTCAAGAATTAACTTTTGTAAAAGCCATTTTTCTTGAGCCCCACCTCTGAAACAATAATTCTCACATTCACCAAAAATTAAACATTCTTCTTTTGAATAGTTTATTTCTTCCTTCTTCCTCATTCCTTCCCTTCCTCTTTCCCTCTCTCACATCACTCCTTCCTGCCTGCCCTCCTTCCTTCTTTCCTTCCTTCCTCTCAGGGCCTAGAAGTGATGCTGTAACTCAAGTGGCAGATGGTTTTATTTTTTTGTTAACTTCAATTGTTGTGAGAGGTTGATCAATATCTTTGTGTGCTCAATTATTTCCCCTAATATCCTATCCACTTTGGCCCTCTATGAGATAACACAGGTGCGACACATCATCCAAACTGGTGTTTTGTAATAGCTTGCTCAGCAGAACAACTAAATAGGCTAAGAGTGAATCAATCACAAGTTGCTCATCACCAATGATTAATTAAAGAAAAGAGCAAGCACTGAAGAGACTTTGGGGTTCTCCCCCAAGGTACAATGCAGATTCTAGTCTTTATTACTCTATCATATTTTTAAATATATATTTTATTGTAAACATACTGTACAGATTGGTTATACCTCTATGAGTTAGGTCATGAATACATTTCCTTTTGAGCATTGTTACCCCTCTGAGAAAGACATTACTACTATTTATGTACTGCAATAAGGACTAATATCTTCCTTTAGATCTTCCATTCAAAAACTGAACTGAGCCGGGCGCTGGTGGCTCACGCCTGTAATCCTAGCTACTCAGGAGGCTGAGATCTGAGGATCGCGGTTCAAAGCCAGCCCGGGCAGGAGAGACCATGAGACTCCTATCTCCAATGAACCACCAGAAAATCAGAAGTGGCACTGTAGCTCAAGTGGTAGAGCGCTCGCCTTGAGCTGAAGAGCTGAGGGACAGCGCCCAGGCCCAGAGTTCAAGCCCCACTACCGACAAAAAAAAAATTGTACTATAACGCATGGATCACACATACAGAGGGAGATTTAAGGGAGCAGTAGAAATATGGTTGTTCTCATGTTCATAACAGTATTTACTCATCTATTGTTCCCATAAGCATGTTGGAGATAATCTGAATCCAGTCCCAAAGGGCTAGAACTCATATTTCTAACAAGAGTTTATCAAATTAACTTGACACACCATTCTTTAGTATAAAAGACACAAGTGAATTATTTCAATTTCTTAATTATTTGTCGAGACTGGTTGTTTCTACATGCTTTGGATTATATGGAAGGACACCATCCCCACTCAACATAATGACAAATGTTGGCTCAAAGAGAGCTGAAGAGTGAAGAATGGTTTCCCATCACCCCTAACTTACCTCTGTCATGAAGAATTTCTCTGTATAATTTACAGAGGTTTTCTGACAAAGATTTTCCTACATTGGGTTTCTTTCCTGGGTGAATATTTTAATAATTGCTGAAGGTTGGCTTCTGGTTGAAAGACTTCCTCTCATGTTTATATTTACAGAAATTCTGTCATGTGTCCAGGTCTCTGATACCTGTACAGATAAGACTTCTGGCAAAATGTTTTCTATACTCATAATTTCTCTCCTGTGTATGATCTCACATATGATGAGGACTCAGTTCTGATTGATAGTCATTTCACATATGTTGTATGCACTACTTTCTTTTCTCCTATGTGAGTCAGTTCTCTCATAAACACTGAGATATTCCTTTCAGGTCAAAGACCTTCCACATTTGTAATATTTTTGAGATTTCTCTGCTGTGTGTTATATGAACTTGGATCTATGAATACTTAGTAAAGGACTATCCACATTTGATATATTTGTATTTTCTCATCTGTGTCTGTTCTCTGATGGAAACTGAGTTAGGACTTTTTCTTGAAAACCTTTCCATATTTTCCTACATATGATTTCTCTCCTCTTTGTGTGTGAGAGTATGTGTCTGTGTTTCTGCGTGTTTTGGGTGTTCTGTGATATACTCTGAGCTGTGTCTTGTAGTTGGAGGACTCCACATCAGCTGTATCATAAGGTCTCTATGTTGTATTGGTTCTGTATTGCAATTTCAATTTTCTTACAGATCAAAGACTTTCCCCATTTGGTACAATCCTAAGTTATTTCATTTGTGTGAATCAACTTATGTGTGTTAAGCTGTGAACTCCCGGTCTTTCTACACTGGTTGCATTAATAAGGTTTCTCTCCTTGTGTTCTGTGATGGATGTTAAGGTTTGCCTTCCAGATGAAAGAATTTCCATGCCTACTACATACATAACATTTCTCTCTGGTGGGTTTTATTCTGATGGACAGAAAGGTGTATGTTCTGGGTGAAAGAATTTCCACATAGGTTACATTCATAAAATTTCTCTCCTGTGTGTGCTCTCTGGTGGACAGTAAGGTGTAGCTTCTAGCTGAAAATCTTTCCACACATATGACATTCATAAGGTTTCTTTCATGTGTGTTTTCTGATGGACAGTGAAGTTTTACTTCCAGGTGAAAGCCTTTCCACACATGTTAACATTAATAAGGTTTCTCTCTTGTGTGTGTTGTCTGGTGGCAAGTAAGGTATGACTTCTTGGTGAAAGACTTTCCATACGTGGTACATTCATAAGGTTTCTCTCCTCTGTATGTGTTCTCTGGTGGCAAGTAAGCTTTGATTTCTGGATGAAACACTTTCCACACAGGTTACATTCATAAGGTCCCTCTCCTGTGTGTGTTCTGTGATGGGCAGTAAGGTTACCCTTTTGGGTGAAAGACTTTCCACACACATTACATTCATGAAGTTTCTCTCCTGTGTGTATTCTCTGGTGGCTAGTAAGATATGCCTTGCAAGAGAAGGATATTCCACAAATGTTACATTCAAAAGCTTTCTCTTTTGTGTGTGTTCTCAGGTGAACAGTAAGCTTTGATTTCTTGGTGAAAGACTTTCCACACACGTTACATTCATAAGGTTTCTTTCCTTTGTGTGTTATCTGATGGACAGTGAAGGTTGACTTCCAGGTAAAGGACTTTCCACACAAGTTACATTCATAAATTTTCTCTCCTGTGTGTGTTCTCTGGTGGGTAGTAAGATATTCCTTGTGGGTGAAAAACTTTCCACAAATTTTACATTCAAAAGGTTTCTCTTTTGTGTGTGTTCTCCGGGGGACAGTAAGCTTTGATTTCTGGGTGAAATACTTTCCACACAGGTTACATTCATAAGGTCTCTCTCCTGTGTGAGTTCTGTGGTGGACAGTAAGCTTTGATTTCTTGGTGAAAGACTTTCCACACATGTTACATTAATAAGGTTTCTCTCTAGTATGTGTTCTCTGGTGGAGAGTAAGGTATGCCATCCTGGCGAAAGACTTTCCACACATGTTACATTCATATGGTTTATCTCCTTTGTGTGTTCTCTGGTGGCTAGTAAGATATGCCTTGCAGGAGAAAGACATTTCACAAATGTTACATTCAAAAGGTTTCTCTTTTGTGTGTGTTCTCAGGTGAACAGTAAGCTTTGATTTCTGGATGAAATACTTTCCACACACATTACATTCAAAAGGTTTCTTTCCTGTGTGTGTTATCTGATGGACAGTGAGAGTTGACTTCCAGGAGAAGGACTTTCCACATAAGTTACATTCATAAATTTTCTTTCCAGTGTGTGTTCTCTGGTGTCTAGTAAGATATGCCTTGCAGGTGAAAGATTTTCCACAAATGTTGCATTGAAAAGGTTTCTCTTTTGTGTGTGTTCTATGGTGAACAGTGAGCTTTGATTTCTTGGTGAAAGACTTTCCACACACATTACATTCATAAGGTTTCTTTCCTGTGTGTGTTATCTGATGGACAGTGAGGGTTGACTTCCAGGTAAAGGACTTTCCACACAAGTTACATTCATAAATTTTCTCTCCTGTGTGTGTTCTCTGGTGGGTAGAAAGATATTCCTTGTGGGTGAAAAACTTTCCGCAAATATTACATTCAAAAGGTTTCTATTTTGTGTGTGTTCTCTGGTGGACAGTAAGATTTGATTTCTGGGTGAAACACTTTCCACACAGGTTACATTCATAAGGTCTCTCTCCTGTGTGTGTTCTGTGGTGGACAGTAAGCTTTGATTTCTTGGTGAAAGACTTTCCACACATGTTACATTCATAAGGTTTCTCTCTAGTATGTGTTCTCTGGTGGACAGTGAGGTATGCCATCCTGGCGAAAGACTTTCCACACATGTTACATTCATATGGTTTATCTCCTTTGTGTGTTCTCTGGTGGCTAGTAAGATATGCCTTGCAGGAGAAAGACATTCCACAAATGTTACATTCAAAAGGTTTCTCTTTTGTGTGTGTTCTCAGGTGAACAGTAAGCTTTGATTTCTGGATGAAATACTTTCCACACACGTTACATTCAAAAAGTTTCTTTCCTGTGTGTGTTATCTGATGGACAGTGAGAGTTGACTTCCAGGAGAAGGACTTTCCACATAAGTTACGTTCATAAATTTTCTTTCCAGTGTGTGTTCTCTGGTGTCTAGTAAGATATGCCTTGCAGGTGAAAGATTTTCCACAAATGTTGCATTGAAAAGGTTTCTCTTTTGTGTGTGTTCTCTGGTGGACAGTAAGCTTTGATTTCTTGGTGAAAGACTTTCGACACACGTTACATTCATGAGGTTTCTCTCTTGTGTGTGTTCTCTGAGGGACAACAGTGTGTGTCTTCTCAGTGAAAGACTTTTCACATTGTTTATATTCTTCAACTACAGAAGACACATGAGGACTATAGGCATTACACATCTTACCAGGTTCACTGAAAACACCCATTTTCTGACACCCAGTGACCTTTTCTATCCTCATCCCTAAGGAGTTCCCATTATTTTTAATCAGTTCTGACTTCTGTATGGAGCTCAAATGAAAACTTTTTATAAGTGTCACTTTTTCCTCCCCTGGGTTACTCTTCATGACTGCTACTTCAGAAAGATATTTATTGTGACTTTCCTGACAGGTGCTAATCACATCTTCCATTACTGGGACATCTAAAATGAATAATAGAAAAATAGACAAAAACATAAATGAGACCCACAAATTCCTTATGCTAATGATATTTCCTGCCATTTTGTTACTAGATTTTCAAATATCAAAGCATTGCTTTATGCAGAATATATACTTTTCTCTTCAATGTAGTAATTAAGAAAGCAGTACTGACATTTTACAATGGAAAATAATGTTTTTCTGTATTTCAGATTATTATATGTTTTCCCAGGAAATATTTCCTGAAATTACTCATCTCCATACTCTTCATGCTTCCATTCTGAATCGCCCTCTATACCCAGCACCACTGATAAGAAATTGTCCCCATCAGAGGATAGCAGCCCTAGCATACTCCTATTTTCCTCTTACCTGCATAATACTAGTTTAAAAGAAAATGAGATCTCCTTTCTACATTTCTTATTCTCTTTTTCTCTTTATGAATGACTTCTCTACAGAAAAAGGGAATTGCTAACACTGCCTACACTGGCACACCAAATTCAGTGTGTCTCCACATGAATTCTGGATTGACAATTCCTTGAGACAAAGGATCACCTAGTTCTCTGCCACACATGACTCAGGGGCACTAGGAATACTATTGCTCCGTACTGCTCAATATAAACAGACCCACTGGGCTCTGGATCCATCATCACCATTCAAGATGCTTTAACCAACCTGTAAAATTCTTGTCTGAGGTTTCTCTTATCCATGGTTCTGCACCTTGCTCCAGCTTCACAATCAATTCAGGTTTAGGAACACAGTGCCCTGTGAATAAGAAATAGTGGAGAACAATTGCTCTTGCTGGGTCATCATTAATGGAAGGTTGCAGACATCCTGTTCACAAGGTTGCTCCTAAATCTGGTTTCTCAATTGTTCTTGTGGGGGGCCGTCGAGTTGTGGGGCGTGAACTCTGGGCCTGGGAGCTGTCTCTCAGCTCTTAAGCACAAGTCTAGCACTCTATCACTTGAGCCACAACACCAATTCTAGCTTTATTTCCCTGCTTATGTGGTGCTGAGATATCGAACACAGGGCCTCAAGCATGCAAGGGAATTGGTCTACCCCTGAGCCATCTTCCCAGCCCATGGTTTCTCTATTCTTAATAACTCCATGGTGGAATTTCCCCCAGCTTTGAGTTTATTGTGTCCATTGTGTGGCTTGAACTCAGCTCTTTTGCTCAAAGCTAGCATTCTCCTAGTTTGAGTCTTGCCTATGATTCTAGTTTTTGAATGGTTAATTGGAGATAAGAGTTTCATGGTCACTTTTCCACAGTTGCTGGCTTCAAACCAAAATCTTCAGATTTCAGCCTCCAGAGTATCTAGAATTCCAATCTTGATGCACTAAACTCTGTGTCAAGTTTGGCTTACAAATACACACTTTCACCTACTGATTTCCAGATCATACTGTCAGTAGTAATGTATATTTTATCTAGACTGTAGATCCACCTATAATAATTATCCCAAGTCTGAGAAGTCAGTCTCCTATTATTGGATCATAGTTTAGAACTTTTGTCCAAAATTGATTAGAAATCTTAAAGACTGAAAATAAAATTAGCTCTTGAGTTACATATAATGAAGTTGAAGTTTCCCTTACAAAGAAATGACACTTCCCATGGACTGGAATCTTTTTTAGTTTTTTTGTTTGTTTGTTTGTTTTTAGAAAATGTTATGGTTCAAAGGCTTACAACTTTAATCCTTCATTGACGAGATGAGATCTGAAGTGGCAGGCTTGAAACCAACCTGGGCATGGAAACCCAGAATATACCCCAAAACAAAAGCCAAAATGGAGTTGTGGTTCATGCAGTAGTGCAAAGGCAAACAACACCAAACTCCCAGACCTGAATTTGGCTGGCTTTTATACTAGCAGTTTTTTAGCTGGGAATGGACTGGAATCTTATACCTAGATAACATAAACAGTCAAATGTCTACTAAAATAAAAGCACTTGATCTTCCAAGAAAAAGTGACCTTTGCTCACCCAAGGACATTAGGTTGCTATAGGTCTCCAGCATTACATCTCTGTGAAGGGTCCGCTGACCAGGATCCAGATCCTGCCACTCCTTTCATGTGAAGTACACAGCCACATCATCAAATGACATCAGCTTCTGTAATGGCACATTTCCATCAAGAAATTAGACCTGGGTCATGAGAATTCCAATCAGGAATTTCATTATGCTGCAGGTATGCTTTTGTCTTACATTAAATGTTTGCAGCTTGCTGTGTTATCTATTCACTGGGAAAATTAAATAGCAAATTAGAAATATTGGACAATATATAAACCTGGTCATTAAAACACACAGATTGGCAGGGCACTGGTGGCTTATCCTCCTAGCTATTGAGGAGGCTGAGGTCTGAGGATCTAGGTTCAAGGCCAGCCCAGGCAGGAAAGTCCATGAGACACTTATCTCCAATAAACCACCAGAAAACTGAAAGTAGCACTGTGACTCAAGTGGTAGAGCACTCACTTTGACCTGAAGAGCTGAGGGACAAGAACCAGGCCCAGAATTCAAGCCCCAAGACCAATAAAAATTACAGTTTCCCTAATGCATGCAAACACATTTCTGCTGCTAGCAATAGAGACAAGATAAAAACTCTAAGGAGACAATAATCTGGCATGACAACAATAGGTCTAAGGAGGTGTCTGAAAAATTATATTATCATTTTTTGATAAAAATTTAGTACATATAATGGTAACAATGAATTAAACAAATATTTTTTCTGCATTTACATATACTGCTTCACCCTAAATCCTATTTTGACTTTCTATTAACAGGTACTCTCATAAGCAAGTAGAACACATTCAGGATATGACATGGAATACAGAACATAGAATATTACTAGACCTATGAGAAGCAGTGTCCACATGAATATTAAAAAATACTAACAGTACTCCAGAAAGTAGCTAATGATTTATTTTGCCCATATAAGATTTAATTGAGTTCACACATAAAAATACCCTAGGTTAACCATGTTTGGTTTAAATACTAAATATTGAAAAGTGGTCACAGATATCCTGATATTTCCATCCTAAGTAAAAAAGAACTGCTACCATGAAGTTTTGTAAACTTTGCCTACATTCTACAATACAAAATATATGTGGGAGGGGAATAAAATATTCTTTACAATATTTTCATTTTAATAGACTTCATGGAAGGTGGAGGAAAATGTATACAAGCTCAAGGAATACTCAATATGACAAAAATGATGAATATGAACAAATGCTCCAATGTGTCACAAATTTCTGAGTCATTTCTCCAGTAGATCCCTAAGGATATATTTCCACTTGTGTTAGTTAATTGCAAAATTCCTCAGAGATCCAAATCATTTCCTGAGAAATCCGTGAGATTTTGCAACAAGTGATATTTCTAATAAAGAACACCTTGTCACTGTATTTTTTTTTTTTTTATCAAAAGCAGTTCCTATCATATACTGGCAGTGAATTTAAATATTCAAAAGTAGTGGGAAGGAAAGACAAAACAAATACCACATCAAATGCAGTTAGACCAAAGACAACAGAATCAGGATTGTCTTGTAGTTTATAAGTTGGGAGAAGGAAATACTTTTCTGTGGGGAACTCTGAAGTTGAGCTGAAGGGGGAAAAGGTTTGAGAGGTTGGAATTCCAGCCTGACCCCAATGAGAACACTGAGAGCTGGCCACAGAAGGGTTAAAAGAGAATTCTGGAGAGGGTTAAGAGACTGGAGGGCAGGCCTTTTCCTTACTGTTGGAAAGATAGAAAGATAGCATCTGAAACTGAGCTGCTGTTCACCTTCAAGGCTAGGTAAGGTGAACTTCATGTCTGCATTTTATCTGGGAGCCAGTCTTCTGTCTCAGGAGATTAGGAAACATGTTTTCCTCACAACCTGTTGTGGCTCTGATTGTACTACTAATATAGATACTTCATTTTTGCATGTTATTAATGCTAATCTTCCCTGTGTGCACTCAAGGAACTATGCTTGCTTGCTGGCACCAAGGGACCAAGTGCCAGAGAGCCTTCCGAACCCTGGTTTTCCCTAAGTCTATCTGTTTATGTTTTTGTGATTTTCTAATTTTGTTTCTGGAATCCTGTAGAACTCTCTAGGACACAATTTTCCTCTACAATGGGTAAGAAAAATGTCAAACCTAAGAGCCATGTCAGCAAAGTAAAACTGATCACTAAGAAAAAATAGTTCCCAGATAGATCATTTGAAGAAAAGAAACAACTGAGACACATATGGAGGAAAGAGGGAATGAGCAAAGTAAGAAAAAAATGATAGACAGATAGATACAAAGAGAGAGAAAGAGAAAAATAACCAACACTAGTGAGTAGAAAATCAAAAATAGAGAGAGAAAATAGAGGAAAGAAATCCTGTGAGAATACTTTAGAAAACAAACAGGAATTTGTAGAAAGACCATAAAGCTTAGCAACAAATACAGGCGAAGTTTCAAGTAAGACCAAGACCATGAAACAGTCCAAGAACTATATATGCAGAGTAATGTAAGTACATTTAGGTTAATCATTCCTTAAGAA